TGTCTCTATTAAAAGTACAAAGATCAGCCGGAGGTGGTGGCAAACACCTGTAATCCCAGCTACTTGGGAGGCTGAGGCAGGAGAGTAGCTTGAACCCGGGAGGCAGAGGTTGCAGTGAGCCAAGATTGCGCCATTGAACTCCAGCCTGGGTGACAGAGTGCGACTCCATCTCAAAAAAATAAAAATAAAAATAAAAATAAATAAATACATTTACAAAAAAAAGAAGAATTAAGTTCATATTGGGGGTAACTCCAATGCTTACCTTGTTCGAGCAATAGCTAAGACTGAATTATAACTGTAGAAGGCCATATTTATTTTTGTCTCAAGTAGTTAACATAGGGACCTAGGCAAAAGGAGTAAGTAAACAATTTAGTACTTCAAAAACACATCAATTAAAAGACATCAGGATTTTAGTGTTTTTAACTATTGCAAAGGTAGAACATTTGCATAGTTAAGATACAAAATCTCCTTCAAGCTCATGTCCAACAATCAGATATTTTCTTAGCTCTGGACTTGAGAATGGTACCTTGAGATTCCAACAAATGGTAATGATCTCTAAGATGATGTCGCTCATGAAGATGGTACGGTCTTCAGAGACATTTTGATTTCTGGTCAATAGTATCTAGTAGTGCAACTTCAATGATTGCCAAGTACTTAAAAAGTAGAGCAATATATATCTATTTGTAGCCTTAAAATATAGGTAGAAAGTGGATATCCTGAATTTCTTTTCAGTTAGCATTGTTCTATATTTAGGCAAGCTGTACCAAATCCTGAAGATTGGAAGTACCCACTAATCTAATTTATATAGCAGTGGATGAAGGTAGACATGGAACCTACTAATCGCTCAAGTGGAGGTAAAACTGTTTCCCTTGCTAGTGATTCTCCAGAGCGCAAACTGAGCTTTGAACCTGTAGATAACCTTCACCAAAACCCTTCTCCATCCAGCGGCGCTTTTCTGCTAAGGGTCGCGAGGAGCGGCAGAAGAGCTGGCATCTCCCAATGGCAGCTTTGCTCTCTTGCGGCTGGAAAAGGAGTTCCAGGGCCTCTCCTGAATAGAAATCTCAGCCACAGAACTGACATTTTGAACAGGGCCTCGAAACCTCTGGACCCACACTAACGGTGGGTGGCGTTTCGCGGGCGGGAGACGACACCTGAGGTGGCGGTTAATCCGCTCGAGCCCCGGCGCTCCCGGGCGGCGGACACCACTCGCACTCGCATTGGCGCCGCCCCACGCCCGCTGCTCCCGGGCTTCCTCGGCTTTGCTCATCACCCCACCGGAGCAAAACGCGCCCTGGGCTTCCTTGCCTGGCGGTTTCGGCGCCCGTGATGTGTGCGCGGCCTGCATGCGGAAGGGTCTGGGGGTTATGCTTTGGTTTTTTGGTGCTGGGGTGGGACAGGCTCTGGAACCACGACCCTCGTGGATGATCGGGGTTGTTGGAAATGAAGCCGAGGAGAAGCAGGGCCTGGGACTGAAAGGACTGAGCGCGCTGTGCGGGGGAGGAGAGGCCGAGCTTCAGAGTTCGCACTGTGCTGGGGACTGGCGGGGATGAGGTCGTGGGCGGAGGAGAGCGTGGTGGGAACTGGAAGCGGTCAGGAAGCCTGGATCGGGCGCTGATGAAAGGAGCAGGATGAGAGGAGCAGGATGCGGACGGAGCGGGCTCCGGAGGAAAAAAAAGGCAGCGAGGCCCACCAGGTCGCGGCCTGAGGGCTGGGTCTGCCCACCCCTACCTCCTCGGCCGGGCTCCGCGGAACGGCAACCTAGGTCCTCCCAGTTCCTTCCCCGGACCCCCAAGCTAGAAGGGCCAGAAGCCAAGTCTCTACGGCTCCGCCTCTTTCCTTGCCCCTGATGTCACTCTGAGTGACGACATCACCAACCAATAAGCTCTCGAGTTCTGGGGAGGGCGGGCGTCCTTCACCTTAGCAGCCCAGGAAGCCGCAAAGCCGCGTTCCCATCGCCGAAGTGACTTCTTTGTGGGGCTTGGTTTAAGGAGCGTTGGTGCTGGGGGGCCCGAGGGTTTTTCTGCCAGTCCACACTCTGCAGGCAGTGGTTAACGCCCGAGGAAACCCTTGATTGAAGACTAAACAGGTTCTTACCCTACTGACATCGTAATATGTCTGATAGTTGCCATGGTAACCATCTCGGAGTCATGAATGACATCACTTTGATGTATTCTCCCTCGGCCCCTGCAACTCCGGAACTGCCTAAGGGGCGCGGAGAGGACTTCATGGTGTCGCAGAAAGGGCGGGAATCGGAAGGAGAGCATTCCTTTCCAGAGGCCGGAATACTGTGAAATCTTCATATGGAAATCTGTATTCTACTAAAAATATTTGCTTCCTCAATGTTCCCTTAACAAGTGTTGTTTGTGATTAATAGTTTGTGTAGAAATCTCAACATATAAAATGTATGTGATAGTAGCTGTGAAATGACAGACACTATAGGTTTGAGGGCACTTCAGTTCCTAGGATGGCCAACTGAGCCATCTTGGGAAAATGAAAGATCTAGAAATATTCTCGTTCCCCAGTTACCTTTTCCCATCCATTTTATCTGGTTCCAGAAGAAAGATTCAAAAAAAAAAATTTTTTAAGGCCGGGTGCGGTGGCTCACGCCTGTAATCCCAGCAGTTTGGGAGGCCGAGGCGGGCGGATCACAAGGTCGGGAGATAGAAAACATCTTGGCCAACATGGTGAAACCCTGTCTCTACTAAAAAAATACAAAAATTAGCCTGGCGTGGTGGCGTGCCCCTGAAGTTCTGATTACTCTGGAGGCTGAGGCAGGAGAATCGCTTGAACCCGGGAGTCGGGGTTGCAGTGAATCGAGATCGCGCCACTGCACTCCAGCCTGGGCGACAAGAGCGAGACTCCGTCTCAAAAAGAAAAAAAATTTTTTTTTTCTTAGTAGCTCTACTCGACCACCATACAGCAAGGAATCGCCTTCTCACGGAGAATACGTCTCCTAACATGTGAGCTGACCACTGACTTTACTCATCTGGGCTACACATTTTTAAGGATGGAAGATGGCGGTATTAAACGTCAGTAAAAAATGCAGACTGCTTTTAATCCACAAAGGATTTTTCAGCTAATAACCAAATAGATCAACTGTTAAACAGGCAAAACTTTTCAGTTTGGCCACTAGAGGTCTCTTTGTGCATGTCTGATGTTCAACTTTGCACATAAAGGTTTCACTTCACGTTCTGTTTACCAGAATTAAAATCTACAAAGCTTTGGACTCTACTTTTCCCTCACTGAAAATTCCTGGTGGTCAAATTTTGAGTTCTAGAAGGTAGATGTAGTTTTCATACTAATTTCATCAATTAATCATTGCACTACCATGTATTGGTACTTTTCTGGAAAAGATCATAAAGGATGCAAATATATTTTCAGTTCCCTGGGAGACATTTTATACGGGGAAATATTCTTATTCATGCATTGTATTCACTTACAACCAGGCACAGTGAATATCATTAAGTATTCATAAACCAGATGAACGATTCCATGCCCAGTATTTGAAAGATGAGCTAGGTTTTCTACCATGGCCATATGTCAGCAATCCTATCCTAAAAAGGGAAGGGCTAAGAACCCTTCTTATTGAAATCCGTTTGTTCAAAGTAATGTCCATCTTCCCTAGTTATGAGACTTGGCAGTTTCTTTGACTTTCAGGATAAGAGATTTATCATGTAAGGAGTTTCTGTATATAATCTTCAGAAGAGAAATTTTTTTAAAAATATTTTTTCCCCATGACTCTGGCCCTGAGAACTGTGTTAGGTTGCTGTCTTAATGAGTTCCTTGCTCATTTTCTATGGCGAAGAGTAATCATCGTCTAAACCTCAGAAGATGTTAGATACTGAAAATGTAAACTATTATTTTTAATGGCCATTTTCCTACATACGCCACCAGATCAAGTATTACTAACTGTATTTTGTAATGCTTTGCAGGAAAAGACTATGCATCTACTTCACATAACTCCAATTTTAAACTCTTGCTGTCAGCATAGCTATTAGAAACAGGCTAATATAAAATCCCTGGGGACAATTTACTAGATTCTCCTCAAGGGAGAAACCCAGGTGCCGGGTGAAGGCAACAGTTTATCAACAAAGCAAGGAAGACACAGGAGGAAGAAAACGAAGAATGGAAGTAGAAAGGCTCATAGAAAAAAAAAAGACTAATTTAATCCCTCTTTCCTGGAGATGGAATTAAGCTAGACTTGGTGGCCCGCTTTGGCCATCTGTGTTTTAAAATGGCATATCACAAATAAAAAGTATGCTTCTACTGATAGCTTTAACCTGTGGTACTACTTAAAGCATACGTTTAAAAATATTTAATTATTAATAGTAATGAGAATTTTTCTTTTCTTTTCTTTTTTTTTTTTTTTTTTTTTTTTTGAGACGTAGTCTGGCTCTGTGGCCCAGGCTGGAGTGCAGGGGCGCGATCTCTGCTCACTGCAACCTCGGCCTCCCAGGTTCAAGCAATTCTCCTGCCTCAGCCTCC